CGACCGTCACGCATATAAATCGTTCTTATGTCCACCGAGACCACGTGCGAATTTCAACGAAATTTTAGTTTTAATGAAAAAACTAAAAAGAACAACATTTTTGAGAAACTTGTCAGCCAACCTCCTCGTGGTGTTTTTTTGCGTTGTGCTAATAGACTGAATATTTTACTAAATATTGAATAAAATATATAATGACCCGGGAATCAACTCGTACGAAGCCCATCGCGTCAACACAATAACGATATCGACTAGGACTCACGAGACCAACGCGCAAACGTCCATCCAACGTCCACCGCGTGTCACCTTAAGAACATTTACCGTTTCCGGTCGCTTTCAGGGTCGCGCGGTTCGTTACGCCACCAGACACCGATCGTGTAACCACTGCCGGTCATTTCTTTACCGCTTTCCCCAATAAGTACATTTGCATATTTTCGGGGTTCCGACATCTGCTGCGCAATCGGCGGTAATTTCTATGCGACTCGGACTCGATTGGATTGTATAACGGTCTTGTTCTCACACCGATTGTCACCGCTGTTACGCGGACCGGACAAACCATTCTGTCAACATAACGTTAACAACACCGTCGAACCGATAAAAACCGATTAAACAGCTCCGTTGCAGCTTGTGTTTTAAAAAATAATACTTCCAAAGTCATTATATGAACACATTTTATTTTATTTGTTTTAACTTTAGTTTTATAAACAAACAATCTGTAATTATTTATTACCATAAGCCGGTATGCGGAGACTTGGACACGTATAAAAAAAAGCAGTCACTCAGTGGCGACGCTTAGTTTAGTTTACATTTAAGTTTCTGCACCATTCTCTCTTTAGCCTACGAGGTGGATATTCGGGACTAGTGTCGGAATCAAAAGCGGACGAATTCATTTGATAAACAATTATTTTCAGGTATAAAGTAACTGTGCAACTCAGTAGTTTCATTTTATTGTTATGGACCTTATGAGATAATAGCAAATGTAAATCGTGTCCGAGTAAAAATGATTTATCCATTCGTTTTCAATAGTTTTGAAAGTAATTAAAATGTACAGTACGTATTTTTGATATAAAAATCTGATATATTCTTACGTATCTAACCAAATTATCGTTTTATTTTATTATGAACCAGCTATTCAGAAAATATTGTTTTATTTTTTCATGAGTAACTGCGATTTAGAGATAGAAAGTCAATGATTGAGCAAACGGCTTTGTAACTGTAATTTAACCACCAATGTATTGTACTTACAATCACGTTTGTTCGGTAAAACAGCAAAAGTAAAATCCAAGAAGAGCGCGCATACTGTTGCCAACAAATACACCTTCACCTAAAAGAAAAAAAATGAATAAAAGAGAAAATAAATATGATACTTAAACCTAGGTACTAAAATCTATACCATAATGTCAACATTATTTTTTACGTTTTATTACTTCGTTATTTTTCAATTTTATAATATTAGAATTATCTCAATTGATAACTATTTTGCTCGTAGGGTACATAGTGGATGATTGTACTAATTTATAATACATCATTTTATCATGATCATTGCAGTTACTAATTGAATACTATGTTTAATGAGCGTCATTCTTTTAAATTTATTCGTTTAACAATAATTACATTAATGATCATATGGTTAATAAATGTGTTATCAATTTCTAATTTATATCACGATGGAACTTATAAAGGTTTCTTTTGATTGGCAAATTATATGCAAACGTGAGCTATTGGCAATAAAAGCGCTTATATCCCGATTCTTATTGTTAAATTATATAAAATATGGGTGAAATAATAATAATGAAAAATAAATAATAACAAATAACTTATACAATTTAAACTATTTATTGGACCGTATAGATATTATGAAATAATCCAAAAATTAACCGTTTCCGAAATCCTGTAGCAGACTGTAAACTAAATAAATAATCCGTGCTAAAACATTTATATCTCTGTAATGTTCTCGACAATAGAAAATTAAAAAAAAAAAAAAAAATGTATAGTATCTGCATAAATTATGTCACCAAAAATTTATAATCTATGTATTCATTTAATGTAAAAAATATTATTGATGTAAGATATTTTGTTTTAGACCAGATCACAATATGATATTAGAATTTATTACAACAATTATTAGGTACAGCAACTTAATAGAACTAACAGTAAAATTATTTTTACGCAATTGGGCGTCTGAGATTAATATATTTAAACGATATAATATGATACTTTCAAAAACATTACTAGTTTGTCTGTTGAGCTAAAAAAAAAATCTTAATTATAATACCACTTTCGTTATGATTTAATTGTAAACTACTGAGTTTTCTCATAGAAGGTTACCTGTGGCGCTATGTACTATTTATTAGCTACATGAAAATAAATTGCCTTATATTGTTATTTATTCATATTGTGTGCTTAGAGTTTGTAAATAGTTGAGGATATTTTTTTTTTTTAATAATTAGAGCCTCTTGAAAATAATTTAATATATTTTCTTGTTGTATAGTAAAATTTCACTTAATTAATTATTCACCTTCCTTTCCTATAATCAATAAGAAATAAATTATTTTTCGAACGAATTTCAATCAAGAATCTATATAAAAAAATGATTTTTGTTTTTTAAAGTGCCTATATAATTGTTATCTGTATTATTACAGTTGAAAAAATTAATTATAAAAATTAAGGTTTTTTTTTTTTTTTTAAAAAAAACATTTATAATTTATTAATTAAACAGCGTAATACCGTTTTATTAGATAATTTATTAAAACAATTTAAACAGTGTTATTGTTTATTTTACATTTACAACTGTTCATTTATAATTGTTATTAGTGAATAAATAAATTATACATAGTACCAAAGAGAAAAATATTTTCCATAAACATGAATTCAATGATAATAATATTATTCCAGAAATTATTTACACTGACTGATCACGTTTATGCAAAAAGTTATTTATGAATGTAAGATTTTTAAGATTTTGAATACATTTTTTTTTTTTTAATTAAATTTAATCAGTTTTAACCTATACGAATAATTATTATTAAATATTATGCAAGTGAACATAATTTTACTAGCATAATTTACGTGGCACTAGTTTATATAAATCAATTTACAAATATTTTAAAATGCATGCAGTATTTATTTAAAAATGTTAAAAATGTTAATTTAAAAAAAATAATTATAACATAAATTATCGATAAAAAATAAAATAAAATAAAATATAAATGAAGTATTTTAATTGAAAAAAAAATAGTTAAAAATTATAATTTTACGATGAAATTTTCACTTCAGACTTATGCGTATTACAAAGACGTGCAGAAAGAAAAAACAAATATTTTAAGCAAAAATCATTTATTAATTAGTACTAAAAAAAATTAAATAACACTAAATCGTGCGTTGAATAGGAAACGACATCGTTTGTAATGGTGGACGTATCTTTAACGGGAATCTGATAGAAATCAATGTTTGAGGTAGATATTATAATCGACTGTGTTCAAAGTGTGGACCACAACATGTTAAAAAATAACCGATCGTGTACATTGCAGGATTAGACTTTTTGTCTTAAGCATAACGTAGCATAACCGATTTCAATTCAACTCACCGTGAAACGCATCATACTATTGTTGATGATATCCTTTGTATCCTTTGAACTGGTTCACATTAGCGACTATCCGGAGGAGCTCAAAAAACGGAAAAACAAAACCGAACCAAACGATCAAAAGTATTACGGTTGTATAGTGTTATAATAATAATAATAATAATAATAATAATAATATGATTAATAAAACCACTACGGACAAATGGGTACGACGCTAAGAATGAAAAAGAAATTGATTAAATTCTTAAAGATCAAAAAAAAAAAAAAAACAAATGATACAAATTCAAACCGTTTTATAGCGATGGAAAAAATGCGGTCATTTTCGATCCCGACATTGCGGCTACGAACGAGTATTTGCCGGTAAGCGGTGGACAATTCGTATTTTATACGAAGATTTGAGAGGGACGAGAGGGAGAAGAAAGTAATTGGTAGCGGCGACGGCAGCGGTGGCGGTGGCAGTGGCAGTGGCGGCGACTTTGTCGGGAAAATCGCGAAGATCTGCTACAAACGGTAATACCGTGATCCTACTCGTTTGGACCACAGCTACCACCACTATTAGTGAAGACATCGACTAGCGTTTTGATATCGATAATGATTATAATTTGTATAACTATTATTATGTGTACTTTGCTCGCTCGCGTGGACTCTATTGTTCATACAATTATACGTTGCGCACTATACATTTTATTGTATTGGGTAGCATAAAAAAAAAGAACGTATTCAAATATCGCTATCGAATTTTGTTACAACAACGTTTCCAATTAAAGATATTTTTCAGCTCTCCGGAAGAAGTTTCAAGGTTTAATGTTAATTCAAAGTTTAAAATCGTAACCATGACATTTTTTCGATTCTTCATCAGTAGTGGTGATTTTTACTAATCTAGTAGCAATAGGGGTTTTAAGACTATTCTATTATATCTAAACGTTCGGTTTTAGATCGTTTGAGAAGTGCAGTTTACTGTTGAATTTTGTAATTTCGAATCGTTAAAAATTGACAAAATTGACGTTAAATATTCAAAAAAATTACAACGATCTTTATTTTCGATCTGCCCAAAATTACTTTATCGGAAAAATGTATATCTTTTCGTTTAAAATATTTTTTTCATTTGAAATTGAATTATATTCGACTATAATTTCTTTCAAATATTATTTCGTAGACAATATTGCACTCTTACTCAAATCATTGTACACAATACTATGATATATTTACAGACATAATTTATAAATAATAAAATTTATACATTTTTCATACTATTTTTTAATTTCTTATTTTATTAACAGTTTCGTACATAAGAGTTGATCTAATTTTACTGGAAAAAAAATCACTCTTGCTAAGCGCATATACATTAAAAATAATAATTACATTTTCTTATCAGTGTGTCACTGGGATTTAATACGGCCAAAACGTTATCGAATGAGATCATCAATTCCGGACTTCCACATAATATTGTTATTTTAGAAAAGTGTAAACGATTATTTTACGGGACAGAGCACATCGGCTTAGTGTATCCGGGTACGATGGTACATACGCGTATATTCATGATTCATAATTCATAATGAAAAATTTGAGTGTTACACGCAAAGTGTGAGGTAACTTGGATTCGAATTATTTAGTTGTGTTTTAATCAAATTGTTAATATGAACTAATTCATTCATTCGAAAACAGTTGAATAACTGTTATTTATAACGTAATTATAATTATAGACAAATTAACTAAATTACATGATTACGTATTACTGGTTATTAATAAATACTATGTCAAATATTAATGTACAACATGAGTCTCAGGATGATTTTTTAATTTACATGTATTTAATTGATGTGTATTTTGATTTGATTTGTTTTTTTAAAAATAAATTAGAACTTAAGTTAAAAGGTCAGTGAACATTCATAAATACAATTGAAGATGAATTAGTTTCCTTATAAAGAATTATTATTTACTTCTTATTTTGTAAATTGTTTATGTATCATTATTATTATTATTTTTTATAATAATATTATAATTATTCATTATTGTCTTTACTATAATTATTATTATGAATTAGATATAGTTATTAAAACTTATTGAAATTTAATTACAATAAGAATAATATTTTGATTGTGAGGTGATATTGATTTACTAGATTCGTATCAATAAATAAGTTTAGAAGTATTTTACTCTTTTCATTGTTTTTTCCGTCTGTCAACGCACTTCCAGTTGGAATGTAACAAGAAACTTTTTCTATCAAAAAATCATTCGAAATTCAAAAGCTATCAGATGAATGGTATGTTTATAAAAATTGAATTTTGATCATACTGTATCAAAATTTGAGTTATAGTACATATTGCGAAATATACTTAAATATCGAGTTGTAAGAACTAACGAATGTGTTCACGAAGGCCTATTTATGTTTTTCGTTGCGATAAAGAACTAAAAACATAAAAAATCAAATATTTTTGAAAATATTAATTTATTGTAAAGATCATAAATCTCAAGTAAAAGATTAAATGTACTTTAGAAATTACTGTTGCACGAAATTACCTACTTGTCATGTAATTTTTTATGTACTTCTCCACGCTTATTTTATGTGACATAAGAATAGCACATTATATTATATAGTCTGTGCTCAATGTATTTTTAACCATTATAATAGGTTATTTATTATATAGCACCTAATTGAAAACAATATTTTTCTATTGTAGAAATATAGTACTTTTTAGCTTTGTAGACAGTCTTTGATTTTACACTTTTCATTTAGGTTTTCTAAGTAGGTATAGAGTGTTTACATACATAATAGGACAGCAGGTAGATACACGTATATAAAATTGAATGTGTTATACAATGCTCTAGACATATTTGATATCCACGTGACCTGAGATTTTTTATATGCTACAATTTTTTTATTAAACATAATGTATATTTTATATGTTTTATCATTAATTAATTACTAAGCGTACACGGATCAAAAAAAAGGCACTACTATTCAAACGGTATTATTTTGAACAATTATTATTGTTAACGATACTTATTATTTGTTAATAGCTTATTGTCGTATAACTTACATATATGATCCACATTACTTCTGTACAAAATATTTCCAGATTCGAGGCTACTGTTAAGAAAATTAAATTATGTAAATATATTTATTACAAATATAATGAGCCATCAGCGTAATCCCAGCACTGAGTACTACCGTGACATTTATTATTCATATATATATTGTTGTAAGTAGTTTTTCATTAAATCAATAACTTAACTATACACTTATCGGAACTAGAAATAATTAAAAATAAAATATAAGGTATAAAAAAAAATGCATGTTAGTATTCAATCAAATACTTGCAGACAAATAGTATTATAAATAATTGTCCACGGTACATTTACATAAAATTGCTGTATATATACCTATACCTATATAAATGTATTCGAAATTCTTTGGTGAATCGTATGGATTGTTATGAAATTAAATGTTTTCCACGGCTGAGTCGCGTTTATTATATTACATTATACGTCACAATGCATATGTAACCGCGATGATACACAAAAAATTAATAAAAAAAAAACAATCTTCTCGAAGAAAATGAAATTTACAACAATATAAACCTATAGTATATATATGTAGGTACAGCACATAATATTTAGTTTGTGGAGTACAATAATGTGTTTGTGTAGGTTGATGAGTATTTTTTTTATTTATTTATTTTTTCAATGGTTTTCAGTTGTTTGCTTTACTTCGCCTACACTGATTATAAGTGAAAAGGTTCGCAACGTTCATACACAGACAACATAGTATGTAACGTACCTACGCTTGTCTATAATAATTTTTTACTTGTTTAATTTTCCATTTTCGGACGCGAATATATGTACACCAGTATTCTCTGGGTAACGTCTATTATACAGGATTAATTTTTTCCGTAAAACGGATAACATCCTTGAGGCAATAAGTAATCATAAAACAGTTTTTGTTTTTAATCTTTGACAGCGTCAAATTTCAAACATCAAACAAGAGTTTGAAACTAAAAACGATTAAATGTTGGATAGTATCGAATTGATGGAATAAAAAGTTGAAAAAAAAACATTAATAATATTAACTGTTTGAAAATTAGTGAAATATCTTGAGGTGTTATACCACGCGACAAAATATATCACTCTGTACGCGTTACACGTAATAATATCTCTATTTGTATTATACCGTAATTACCGATGGCGGAAGACGATATCCGTTCACAATCCACATCCGTGTACCTATATACACGTATTTTAGATCATATTTTATCTACACAATAATATAAATATATAACATTTCATAATACGCTCTACGATCCGCTGCACGACGCGAAACATCGTTTGACCATCATTTACCCATTGGAAGCGTTTACACCGTGGAGTAGGAACTATATACACGTGGTACGTACACGAATCGTTACAAAATCAAACGACAGCCGTTTTACATGCGTATACATTTTATATATATTGTAATATAATAACGTACGTTTGGGTTGTCGGCTGAACACGGTCGACCGTATTGCAATACGCGCGTGGAGATGAAAAATTTGTTTTTAATCTCTCGCGCGGAAGCTGAAAACTTTTTCCGTTACGGTGATCCGGTTTCGTCGAGTTCCTCATGAATGCATACGAATATCAGCAGAAATAAATACATGTAGAATATTGTTTTTTTTGTAAACGTGTAACGAGATCTAATACACTGGGACGGTGAAACCAGGAATCAGGATTTTTACGTAAGGGAAAGACAGCAATTCTACATAAACTTGTGTATTGTTAATTAAAATCAAATTAGGTCTATATTAGATTTGTACTTTAATACTGAACAATAATCACATTGCATGTATTATATAAGCATAGGTCCCTTAGGTGGTATACATAATTTACGTGAAGCTGTAGATCCTGCAACATTTCAAATTTCCATCCTAACCCGTCTTCACTCGATTGTTTTAGAAAAATAGTTAAAAATGTTTTGCTTTATTTTTAAATGTCTAAAAATATTTGGAGGAACAAAACGATAACTATCGACCTTCGGAAGAATAATCCATTTTCGTTTTCTTACATGACTAGTAGGCAACTGATTGAATTATAGTATAAAATACACGGTACATTTAGTATGTACACCGATGTTACCTAAGTACAGGTATACATAAACCTATGTACCTAGGATGTTAAACTAGGTATAAACCATAGGTATGTGATAGAAATACTGTCACATAGTAAATCACGTCATCGTTTACGACGGTCAGTTTGCAATATAAACCGTGTATATACGTTCTCGATGAATTTTCCTGGCGCCGTTTTGATCGGATGAACGGAAAAACTGGGTGAAAGTGCGTGCCATCCTGAAGGCGTTTGTGGAATTTCAAGAGCTCATTAG